GTTTACTTTTTTTAATTATTATTGTTCACGAGAGTTTTTGATTTGATCACTCTCGGTCCCAATTGATTTCTTCTCCCCCCGTCCCCCAAACCTTAATATCACCTTTTGACAGTTTTGTTAATCTTTTACGGGGTTCATGTCAATGTATTGTAAATTACTTTATTATGTTGTACAACACCCTGGGCTTTATAGCAGGTAGTAAGTGGGGCTTTTAAAATCAGGATTATTACGCTTGTATTATATTGTCATGTTTGCATCATGACAACTGAAATGCATGTGCTGAGGCTCATTGGTATTTATCTGAGTAGCTCACCAGTAGTTTGCTAGGCAGCGTGGCCCAATAAATTGGTGAAACTGCATTGTAAGGGCTGCTGTTAAAAAAGGTCTTTGGGTTTTATTTACAGTTCCAAAAGGGAGAAAAAATTATATGGCTGTTGGAAAAAATTAGTCAGCATTAAATTTTAATAAAATGTGACACAATAATTAGTCCCTGCAGATTCAAAGGAATCTTAATAGACTTCCTAGTCCTTGTGTAGTGAAAGATCTGTATGACAACTTCACATCTTAATTGAACCTCATATCCTTTATCTAAGAAACTTTTTGTTGTTGGGGTTGGGGAGTCAGCTAGAAAGGAATGCACAATTGATATGCTTACCAGAACCTGCCCAGGCAGACATGTTAAGATGATTGTTCTGTAGTCTTTAAGAGACCCCAATAGACCTTCATGTGAGAATGGACATGGAGAATAAAACAGGTTGAGGGTGTAGATTGGGGGCGGGGGCTGGTTATTCTGAGAGAATGTTGCCCTAAATTTGTTCATTATTTTTAAGACATGAAGAGTATTAAGACAGCTGAATTGGATGATTGGAAATGTCTTTATTGTTAAAGAGTGAACATGCTCCAAGGAAATAACCATCTTTTTGAATGGCAAAAGAATCTCTGCATGTGCTCTCTCTCTCTCATATAGTGTTGACAGAAGAGTCCAGATATTTCAATGTCTTGTACCTAAGTTTAGTGCCGGTCCAGTAATGCTTTCTATAGTATTTTTAAGCATGTATGTTTATTTTTACCTATCCTTTTATTTAATGACTTTTTCGCTCTGTTTTTATGCAGTTGCCAATAAAACATTATTTTGTTTAAGACAAATGGAATTCAGTTTGGACATTGTAATTTTTGGGCGGTTTTTGGTTGGTGACCCACAGAGGGCAAAAGTTCTTTAACCTCTCAAGAGGCCTAGAGTATAGAGCTCTAAGCCTACTCATCTGAATCCCGCCGATTTTCCAACTCCCCATATTTTCCCCATAGATTCCTAAGGTTGTGCAGACATAAACTGTCACTCCCTGTATAAACAAAATCTAGTATTTGTTCTGAATCTATATAGTTTGTTATAAAGACTTATTTTTACTCTGTAAAATAATATTGCTGATATACTCTTGTACACTGAAAACAAGACATTGTTTTTAAATGGCTTTACGTTTAACATGTGACTGGAAATTATTTTGGAGGACCTATTAAGAGTCCTTGATGGAGCAGAACAGCAATTGAGGACAAGATTTAAAGAAATAAGAGTCTGAAGTTAATAATCTACATTTATTTTTAGATACCTAAACAGGGCTGGGCATCTTGGTCCCATTAGGTGCTCAGCATTTTTTTTTTTTTTTAAAATTGGGTCTCATATTTAGATGCCCAAATATGTATATATCCTATTTATGAAAATATTGCCTTTAGTTTCCAAACCATTTAAATTTGAACTATTTTACATTGTACACAATGATTTTGGTGAAATGACATAGGGCATAATTTTAGAGGTTCATGATAAATATAACTTATAAACTGATACAGAGTCCGTAATACACTGCACATTACCTTCCTTCAGTGGTTTTCCAATTTAAGTTACTTTATGGCCAGTCACCACATTTGTTTGGGCCCTGATTACAAATCCATATAGAAAGAGAATTAAATAGATTCTTCTTTCATCATTGATTTTAATTTAAAAAGTAATTCATGTAATGTAATACAAACCTACAGATTTTAAAAGTTTGATGGATTCATTTAAAATAAACTGCTTTTAGTATTGGCATATCTGTTGACAATCTTCTCATTAATGATATAGTCCCTTAAAGAAAAATGTGGAGTGTTACATAGGAGTTTAGTAGACGAATAAAATGGACTTTTATTGGCATTCATTTTCCTTTGTCTTTCATGCACTGGTGTGGTGAGCAGATTTTTGTAATTAAATGGTAACTTGTCCTAACTCACTTATCTATCGTTTCCTTTATGTGCTCGTATATGAGAGAAAACAGATCAGAATGTGGTTATCAGTGGGGGAAAATGACAATTACTTTTGTTATGTGAATATGACAAAGGGAAAATGTGTTTTGTCCCTGTAAGCCAGTTATATAATAAAATACAGATTGGTTTTTATTCGTTTATGTAAGTACCACATTATGACAAAATTTACAAACTGTAATATTTTACCAACCCCTTCCATCCTGTTTCATTGTCATATACTTTTTTTCTTTGCAGTGGAGCCTTCCTAATTCATGATTCCCTAGTTAACAAACCCATTAATTTTCATAAAACAGCAAACATTTCACCTTATATCTAATAGTAGGGTGCTTAGTAAAATCTTCTATACTTAACATGAGACGGAACGGTCTCTTGGTTAAAGCAGATGTGTGGAAGGTAGGACTTCTGGATTCTGCTCCTGAGTTGGCCCCAAAATTTGCTGTGTGACCATTGGAAAGTCCTGTAACTTTTCTGTGCCTGTTTCCCTTTCTGCAAAAACAGGGAGATCTTTATAAAGTGCTTTGGGATAGTTGTATGATAGATGCTATATAAGTGCAATTAATTAATGTTACTAAGATATCAATAATTTTGCAAAACATACTCCATTATGAAGGTAGTATAAATAATAAACTAAATTGAAATGGCCAAAATGAATGATTTTGAAATGATCCGCGTTAGGTATTTTAAAATAATATACTTTTTTTTGATTGCTAACATGTGAATTTCAGTGATCCTCAGTAGTTCTCAGTCATTAGTGCCATGTACTTTTCTGCTGTAAAGACTTTCTCGTAATTGCTGATCACTGAGTAACTAGGGGATAAACAGAATTGTCTTCTTTATAATTTGCCTACTCCTCTCACCTGGTTCATTCCGTGGTAATGTTACAATCCAGTCTTTGTAGCACTATATTTTATTTCCATTATGTCACATTTTGATGTCACAAACCAGTTTCTATCATTGCTGAATGAACTGAGCAGGACAACTAGACTGATTATAAACAATGATTATAAACAATGAAGATGGTATTTAACATTTAAATAGCTCTCTGTCCGTAGAACTCAAAGAACTTTCCATTTTACATGTGGGGAAAGTGAGGTGCAGAGAGATAAGTGACTTGTCTAAGATTAAAGAGGAAGTAGGTAGAGTGTCTTGGAACAAAACCCAGACCTTGAGAAAGGAGGGTGACTTTGGTTTTAGTGATGGAAACCAACCTCTTTCTCCTCCTGCTAGAGCAGGGGTGGGCAAACTTTTTAGCCCAAGGGCCACATCTGGGTATGGAAATTGTATGGCAAGCCATGAATGTTCATGAAATTAGGGGTTGGGGTGCAGGACTGTGTGAGGGGTCTGGTGGGGGTGTGGGCTCTGGGGTGAGGCCATAAATGAGGAGTTCAGGATGCAGGAGGAGGCTCCTGGCTGGGGCAGGGGGTTGAGGTGTGAGGGGGGCTCCAACTTGGGGTGCGGGCTCTGGGACGGGGCTAAGGATGAGGGGTTGGGGGTGCAGGAGAGTGCTCCGGGCTGGGACTGAGGGGTTCGGAGGGTGGGAAGGGGATCAGGGATGGGGGTTGGGGCGCAGGAAGGGGTCAGGGGTGCAGGCTCCAGGCAGCGCTTACCTCAAGCAGCTCTCGGAAGCAGCATCATGTCCCTCTTCTGGCTCCTATGCGGAGGTGCGACCAGGCGGCTTTGTGCTGCCCCATCCACAGGTGCCGCCCCTGCAGCTCCCATTGGCTGTGGTTCCCAGCCAATGGGAGCTGCGGGGATGGTGCTTGGGGTGGGGAGAATGTGTGGGGCCCCCTGGCTTCCCCAATGCGTAAGAGCCAGAGGGGGGACATGCCTTTGCTTCTGGGAGCCGTACAGAGCCCTGGAACACATGGAGCGGTGCAAGCCCCAGACCCCGCTCTCCAGCGGGAGCTCGAGGGCCAGATTAAAATGTCTGAAGGGCTGGATGTGGCCTCCAGGCCATAGTTTGCCCACCCCTACTCTAGCGCAACATTGCTATCTGATCTATCTACATTTCATATTTGGGGGTGAGGTTTGAATTAACCTTAATTTTTAAACAAAATATTGCCATGTGCTGAGCCACCATATGACATCAGTTGTTTGCTGATGACATTTGCCCTATCGGGAGGCATGTGGCACAAATATTCAGTGCTTGCTGTCAGCCAGATTGGGAGGAAACACTTCAGCTAGCCATTGAGCATCAACCATTATCACGGTAAAGAAATGGCTTGAACTACTGCTTCCATAACCTCCAAGCTGTATATAAATATAGTTGAAAAATTAGGGTTAGCCTTGTACAAAGCAACATCAGGGAGTAAGACTTGAAGATTCAAGAAATGATGCGTCAACTTATTTGAGATGGAAAAATATTTTATTTTAATATTTTAATTCCTTGGAGTAATTGTCTTTCCTCAATAAACTGGAAACACTGTAAAAACATAAAATCCAACAAGCGAGGCCCAAATTATTATTGAAGTATTTCTTTCTCTCATTTTAAACCTAAATTCTAGCAAAAAATAAGATCTGAAAATCAGGCTAATTTATATAGCTTTGTTTTTTATGTAGATATCGCCGTTAATTGACAATGATGAGAAAGGAATTTCAACAAAAGTATGCAAATATATAGTGTATTGTGCTTTAAACAAAATACTGTTAAAGTTTCCTGTTCTTGTTTTAATTGAAGAAAACTGACGTTGCTTATTTTGTCTTGTTAGGCTTCTTCCCAAGCAGCTCTCAAGGGTGTGATGCTTTTCTTCGCCACAAGATGACACTGATTTCTCCCTCAATATTGAAAAAATATGGAATTCCTTTTGACAAGGTACAGTAGAATTTATTTTAATGACGTGCCTCTGTGCGTAGTATCCAGATATGTGTAGCTACAAAGGCAAAGCAAAACAGTATCTTTTTATTCAGGCCGAGATTCCAAATTACTGTTGTTAAAACAAGCTTCTGGGCTGTTGGGTTGTTTCCTTGGTTTGGTCTCAGATTTTCAAAGAAGCCTAAGGGGGAGTTAGGTTGCCAAATCCCGTTGAAATGCAATATAATTATATTAATATGAAACAGCTTGGAAAAGTTAAAAGCTTTTATGTTCCAAACTCATTTAGTAATATCTTAATTTTTGAAGCCATCAACAGTCCATTATGTAATATTTTTTGATATTTGGTAAATACAAATTTATTTAGATTGGTGCTACTACATTAATTCATACCACTCTTAAATAGTGGTAATAGATCATGTTTTGTTGGGATCAAACTTTTTAAAGAAATGTTTGTATGGATCATGCTTTATTGTTTTCTTTGTATGTAGTGCAGTATAATTTTTATTGGCATTTTGTGGTAATAAATTTCAGATGAAAATACACGATGGAATAAATGTTTGAAAATTTATTATGAAACTTTTTAATGCAACTTAGTAGATGTAGTTAGAAATACTGAAAAAAATAATAATCAGATGCTCCTTTTCTGGGTGACAGATTATTTTCTACAAAATTTAGTGCATATATTATTCTTTTGCTTTGTGCTGGTTGATAGTGACTGAGTGAAAAAGGGTATACAGCATGAACATTTTATATAAAGCAGGAGAAGTGAAAAAAAGAACTTTGGCTTGATTAAAAAAAAATCTCCTTTTGGGTTTGAGAAGGATTAAGTGCTTAGCTGCTTGAAAAACATTTAAAATACTCTGTGTATCCTCCTCTCCACTTGATTTTTTCTTCCCATGATCCTAGCTCTTCTCTACCTAAGAGCTTTTTTACTTGTGACTAGGTGTGTACTTCATGTGGGTGTGAGGCAGTGAAAGTGTATTGTTTTTTTACAGTGGCATCAACTTATGCCAAGATTCATTCAGCAGCTTGGTGAGCCTGACTTAGCTCCCCTTGGACATTTGTTTGTCTGATATTTAAATTTAGCAGCCTCTGATCATTATACAGTTATGATCATTTTATAGATTCTTGATTTCCCACCTCTAGGTTTTTCTAAAGTGTATAGAGGAGTCCAACAATAAGCCTGTATATTTTTCTCACACAAAATCCACTTGCAGAATAAGCCCATCAGTTTTTGTTTATGATTGTTGTCTCTGTTTTCACATATGTGATTTATTTACATATAGGTAGCAGGATATGTATATATGCTCAGCTGCTCAATTTTTCACTCTCTAGATCAGGGGTAGGCAAACTTTTTGGGCCAAGGGCCACATCTGGGAGGGGAAATTGTATGCAGGGCCGGGGCAGGGGGGTTGGGGTGCAGGAGGGAGTGCGGGGTGTGGGAGGGGGTGCGGTGTGCAGGAACAGGCTCAGGGCAAGGGATTGGGGCAGAGGAGGGATGCGGGGTATTTGAGGGGGCTGAGGGCAGGGAATTGGGGTGCAGGAGGGGTGTGAGGTGCAGACAGGGGGCTTAGGGCAGGGAATTTGGGGGGCAGGGTGCAGGAGGGGTTCGGGCTCCGGCCCAGTGCTGCTTACCTAAAGCGGCTCCGGGGTGTGAGCGGCGCCCATCGGGGCCAGGGCAGGCTCCCTGCATGCCTGTCCTGGCCCCGCGCCGTGCCGCTCTGGGAAGCGGCCGGAACCACTTCCCTGTGCGGCCCCTGGGGGAGGAGGGAGCACAGGGCTCCGCGTACTGCCCTTGCCACGCCTCCAGGTCACTCCCCCAAAGCTCCCATTGGCCACGGTTCCCTGTTCCCAGCCAATGGGAGCTGCAGGGGGCGGTGCCTGGAGGCAAAGGCAACGCATGGAGCCCTCTGCCCCCCAGGCCCCGGGGCCCCAGAGACGTGGTGCCGGCCTCTTCTGAGAGTGGCATGGGGCCTGCGGTACCACGGGGGGCAATCCCACGGGCCGGATCCAAAGCCCTGAGGGGCCGGATCCAGCCCGCGAGCCGTAGTTTGCCCATCCCTGCTCTAGACTGTATGGCTACGTAGGGCCTCCTATCTCATTCAGTTTAGATTTATGGGATATTATTAAGTGAGGTCAAGAGAAATAATGTAACTACTGATTCTTTTCATACCCTTGTAATTTATCACTAATGTGTCAAATAAAGTCACGGAATTTAGATCTGTTGTTTTGGATTTAATGAACATTAATTTAAGCAGTATATTTTTCAGCATATGGGGATGGTGGAAGCATAAAGTTTAATAACTTGCTGGCAGATTTGTTTTTAACATTGTCAGGCTTGTGTTTGGGGTAGGTAGGCGAGTCCAGAGCAATAAGGTCGGTTACTTTATTTCAGTGTCTTGGACTTTCTCATTTTCTATTTTAAAAAATGTGTTAGAAATAGTTAAATAGAATAAATTTAGTTCTGTCACCTACTGCTAGGAAGAAGCAGCCTGTACCCGAGTGCAGTTTTAATTAATGGGAATCAGTGAGAAAGTGAATAGAAAGAATCAGGCTGTGATCTCTCGTGGCTTGCTGTGATAGAACTGGAAACGTGCTGAACACTGATAAGCCAGCCTACGCTTACCAGGTGACAGCTGAACTGCCGCTTATTGCAATAGAACACCTGCTAAACTGTCATCAGTAGGGGGGTGCATGACAAGATAAATTTGGGAATTGCTGGCACTGAGAATGTTCTTTCTTATACATCCCTGCAACACGATCTGAAAACTCCAATTACAGTCGCTGTGTGTGTTTGTGTGCTATATATTTACACACATGCTTATGCATATATAAAGCATCCAGTTGCTTCACATTTATGCTGGAACCATAAGATGGTTTATATATTTGTATATAAAGTATGACTTTTTTCATTCTTTAATCTTATCTCAATGTAGTTTTTTTGCTATCTTCTCCCTCCCCCCGCCCATTCTGGCCCAAAAGATGGTGGTGATATCAAGAACATGCCAATATCTGGAGTGCCATTCCTTTGGGTTTCTTGTTGCATACAGAGAATGCACACACGACATTCATATGATTGTGAGAACAGAGTTTTGTGTATTTGTGGGGTCCAAATGAGAAATTAAATACAAAAACTGTTATTATTATGCTTGAGAGCTTAAGACATTAAAGGTAATATAAATTTCTACAGAAGTGTAGTGTGATCTCTAGTTATGGTGGCTATGTAAAAGTTAACTAACTTTGAACATTCTGTCTTTTACTGTATTTAAAAGCACAACCACAATGTTGCCTTAATATAGTGTCTTTTCATTTTTGTGAATTTCTCACCTGAGTATTGTTCAGGCAAAGCATTATTAGACCCACAGAAGATGTCCCTCTGATCACTAAGGTCTTCTTGACTTCCATTAACCAATAACCACTGCTTGGTACCCAAACATCTGTCCTTAAGTATTGTTCACAACAAATAGCTTCTTTCCACTGGGCCTATTTTCTGACCTAAATTTAGTGTCAAGGGGCATGTCAAATGGAGTATATAGATTTTTGTTCACTGCTTTGCTCACTAATGCCATGAAGTAGCACCTATCAGCCAGTTGAAGAGAGGATGTGGCTGGGCCATCTGTTCAGCAGCCTCCAGTAAGCTCATCCTTGCTGCAGCCTTTGATGGCTGGGGTCCAGTGGAGCTCCCAGTGGAAAGTAAAACAGTCCCTAATTGGTGGGAACTCTTGGGGATTGCAAGCAGTGGTTCTGCCGCCCGTCCTCTGTTGATGAATCTCCCCATGAGTGTAGCAGACCCAAACAGCACATACAGGTGCACATTACTCCACTAGCAAGAGAGAATCCTGCCCAGTATCACTAACTTTATTCCACTGTTTTCTGTAAATTTATATTGCTTGCTGTTCACTATCTGGCATTCAACTTTAACTGTTCATATGAAAATGACTATACTGTACAAAATATAGTTGTATCTTTTGTGGTGTCATTGTTTTTTTCCCTAGCTATAACTTAATCTACTGAATCACTGGGCTGCAGTCTCTTTCCACTGAATCACTCTTCATTGTATTTTGTAAGGAAAAGTGATCCTTTGGATAAATCCTTGTTTACTGCATCAAGTGGTGTTAAAGCTTCACTGCCCAGTGCTATTTGAATACCGTTTCCCAGACCTGAGGCTTTCCATGCTAAGCCATTCCCCACACCCCCTGAGTAGAGTTGTAGTAGTGTGCTGTAGCAACATCCTTTCAATATCCTTAATACTGTTCAAAACCCCTCAGTAAAATAAGTGTTAATGGAGTGTTAAGAAGGAGATTTTAATGTCACAAAGTTTAGGACAGTCATTACATCATTTAGAATACAAAGTGTCTTCAGCATTATTAGTTATTGTAAAGTTGTAGTAGTGATGTTACACAAAAAGTGTGGTTCTGCTTCCTTGAAACAGACTTTGAAGAAATGGCACCTATTCTTGTATTATTCAGTAATAGAAGGTGTGAAAACTAAATTAGCTCCTCATTTATACATGTATAGTCCCACTGTCTTCAGAATAGGTTGTCAGTGACACCTATGAAACCTAATTAGCATTAAATGGGTCAGGCACTGAAAAGTTGTGTGGGGATGGGAAAGGGCAGGGAAAAGAAATCCCCCTCTAACCTAGCTCAATTACATGGAGCATCTGTGGCACCATTCCAGAGAAGCTACTTAAGGTGAAGTGAGCTGTAGCTCACAAAAGCTTATGCTCAAATAAATTGGTTCATCTCTAAGGTGCCACAAGTACTCCTTTTCTTTTTGCAAATACAGACTAACACGGCTGTTACTCTGAAACCTACTTAAGGCCTGTGGATGAAGTAGCCTTCCCAACCATTACAGTATGTCTCCTCTATTGGGGAAGGTAGCAGCAGATATTTGGCCCACTGGCTGCCATCCTGCCTTGTCTGCCCACTTCAAATCTTATGCTCTCTACTCATTGCCCCCCCCCCCCATGTATTGTTAATAGGGGTCGTCTGGTTTTGTAGAAGAGGGAACATGATTTGCTCCCTTGTGAACACTTTCTGAATTTGTGGCCTACTCTAATGTGGGGATACTGATGGGCCAGAAGTTTGTTATTTCAAAATGTAGTCAGTAATGTCTCCTCAGGTCTGCCTATATTTAATCCAAATTGGATGCTATGTGCAAATATCTATTTTGACATCAGCAAATATAATTTTCATTTCTTTAATAAGAGAAGGTCTTTTTAAATAGGTTATTTGTGGTTTTTTCTTGTTATGTAGATCACACAGGAGGCAGGGGAATTTATGATAACCTTCCCATATGGATACCATGCGGGATTTAACCATGGTTTCAACTGCGCAGAATCAACAAACTTTGCCACAATCAGATGGATTGATTATGGAAAAGTAGCTAAATTGGTAAGTAATACTACAAAAATAATGCCTGAATTAAATGTCTCCTTTGGTTATTCCTTAATGATAAGCTTAGGAAAAAGAGAAGATGAAGAGGGAGAAGAACAATTAAGTCATCTTGTACATCATCCTGTCAGTGCAGTACTATTCCATATTGTGCATTTACTAGCATGTTATAACACTTGCAGTACATGTATTATTTGTTGTAGTAGATTTTAGATATGACTTAATGTGTATATTGTATGTTAAAAATCTTTATTTTTCAGGAGATATTTTTATGTAGGTTTATATGAGGCCATATAAATCGAGAATTATGTTTGGAAGGGGGAGACAGAATTTATTTCTGTTCTTCTAAAACCCTATGCATTTTAGTCATAGAGGCAGCTTGGAAATCCCCTTATTCAAGTCACATACAGCGATTCTGCTCCCTTTTAGAATTTTATATGTATCTTGGAAAACATGCCACAGATTTGAGGGGTAATGTGCCTGTTCAAAAGAGGACAAAGATCAATAAGAGGGCTGAACTAAATGAGCAAATTAAACTTTAATCTGTAATGTTTTTTTTAAATGTTGGCAATATTTTGTGATAAATTAAATATGCTCCCAGAGTGGGAATGTTTCATAATTTAGAATCACTAATATATTTTACAAAAAAGCAGTTTCGTGTCACTGTTTTAGTCTATGCAGCTATAGTGTTGTAGCTACATCAAGGATATTATAGAGACAAGGTGGGAGAGGTAATATCTTTTATTGGACCAAGTTCTGTTTGTGAGAGAGACAAACTTTTGAGCTATGCAGTGTAGCTCAAAAGCCTCTCTCTAATCAACAGAAATTGGTCCAATAAAAGATATTGCCTCTCCCACCTTGTTTCTACTATTTTAGTCTGAAATTTTGCATATGTTGCATATATTTTACATTCTGTTCACATACAGCATTTGTGTAATATACTGAATCAAATGTGTGTATTTTGTTCAGCAAAAGGTCATTAATGTTGTACAGTATTTTATATGATCTCTCCACTATTAAAAAGTATAGATTATAAGAGCATTGTTTAGGATGCTTTGATAACTATGTAATGTGGAGCCACTTTCCAGACTGAGATATTCTGTACTGACAACAGCAGCATCTACAAATTGTGTATATGTTACATTAGCTAATGAGATGATAAGTGAATTCACTTCAAAAGCAAACATGGGAGGAGGAGGGGTTGCAACAATGTAATCCAGGAAGAGTACAGGGTTAAATACTTGGAATTGGAAGAAGACCTTGAGAATATTTTCTGTTAGCAGAACTTCTTGATTTTAGGCACTATTGACTATAATTGTGAATGAGATTGATGAGTGGGTTTCAAGAGGTAAAAGGCCTGAAAATGATCCATTGTTTCACGTAGCCTATACATAGACATTTACTGTAATGAAAGTAATAAAAACATCAATAAGAATTTAAAATGTTCAGCTAGGTCTTCACTTTTAATGCAAAACTTACATTCATGGTGGTAATTAATAAGGCCCTGATTTTTTAATACTGATTTTTAAGAATCTATATATTTAGTAGCTCAGTGGTTCAAAAGATAGTAAAATGAACCACCATGTAGAAGACTTGAGTTTAACATAACTCTGGGGAGGTTAAATTCAAATGTGCGGTAAGCTGAGTCGTTGAAAAGTTAGTGGAGTTTCTCTCTCTTAGTCCGGAATTTGGTTCTAATTTTTGGTTAGGAGGTCTTGGTTCATTCAATCCATTTTGAGTATTCTTTGTCCATGGAAAAAGCAGTCATTGAAATACAGTGACTTCCATGCTATGTACTGAAGGTGTAATACCATGTTCATGTATTGTATAAGAAGGTAAAATGGCTTCAGGGTGTTTGTAATCAATTCAAAGTGTCTGAAATCTTCCAAATACTATTTGAATCAAGAATAATAAGAATATCTGCTATAGAGAAATCTTAAGGATTGTAGCTGAGTGTGAATCCCAGTTCCTGTGACTAGAGGCCACAGTCATGAATTGCACTCCTCGTTTTACAAGATAATAAAAAATGTCAGAATTAAAGCCTGGCTCGTTGAACATTTTGCTTCATTTTTTAATTAATCTGGAAAAAGACTTGGAAGCAGTATTAGCCAAATAAAACATATCTCAGGGTATTGCACACCTTTCAACAGCAGTTACATAATTATTCAAAGCTAATGGAAACAAAATAATTAGATAATTATTTATAATAATGACATTTGTTTGTATTTGTTCATGCCATACAAATAAGATACAAATACAAGTTGATGGAATGTTAAGGAAATGTATGTTACTGCTTTAATGTTCCAATATTAATTGTAAAACAAGATACATTAGGGAAATACCAAGTTACAACTTTACCTGTTATATCGGATATTTAAAGTCCTCATATTTGAAACAAAGGCATGTGGGAAACAGGTGTAGAGGAGCACACCGTTTGTTAAAGGGGATACTCTCTGTCCTAGTAAAGAGGAGAAGATAGAAGTTGATGAAATACAGGTTGTAACTGAAGAGAAACAGCCAAATGAAAAAGAGTCCCATTCAATGAAGGGAGACAACTAAATATTGAAAAATTTTCTAAATGTTCATATACAAATGCTAGGAGACTAATACTAAGATGGGAGAAGTTGAGCTCCTGCTATTAAATGAGGATATTGATATAATAGGTATCATAGAAATTTGGTGGAATGATGATAATCAATGGGACACAGTAATATCAGGGTACAAAATATATAGGAATGACAGAGTAGGGTGTGCTGGTGGGGGAGTGGCACTGTATGTGAAAGAAAGCATAGAGTAAAAATCTTAAATGAATCAAAATGAGCCATAAAGTCTCTATGAATAGAAATTACATGCTTGAACAATAAAACTATAGCAGCATGACGGTGATTGTGAAATGCTCAGGGATATTAGAGAGGCTACAAAAACAGAAAACCCAATAATAAAAAGGGAAGAGGGAAGGACCTCTCATAGATTGGTAACTGATTAAAAGATAGGAAGCAAAGGGTAGGAATATACTGTAAGTTTTTACAATGTAAAGAGGTAAATAGTGGGGTCTCCTAAGGATCTGTACTGAAACCTGTGCTGTTGGATGTATTCATAAATGATCTTGAAAAAGAGGTATACAGTGAGGTAAAATTTACAGATGATACAAATTTACTCAAGATAGTTAAGTACAAAGCTGACTGCGAAGAGTTACAAAGGGATCTCACAAAACTGGACAACAAAATGGCAGATGAAATTCAGTGTTGATAAGTGCAAAGTAATACACTTTGGGAAAAATAATTCCAACTATATATAAAAAATGGATGGGGTCTAAATTAGCTGTTATCACTCAAGAAAGGAATCTTGGAGTCGTCATGGATAGTTCTCAGAAAAGTTCTGCTCAATGTGCAGCTCCAGTAAAAAAAAAAGCTAACCGAACGTTAGGAACCATTAGGAAAGGGATAGTTAATAAGAGAGAGAATATAATACCACTATATAAATCTCTGGTTTGCCCACACCTTGAATGCTGTGTGCAGTTCTGGTTGCCCCATCTCAAAAAAGACACATTAGAATTGGAAAAGGTACAGAGAAGGGCAACAAAAATGATTTTAGGGGTATGGAACAGCTTCCGGGCATGGATAGATTAAAAAGACTGGGACTATTCTTCTTAGAAAAGAGATGAGTGTACGTGGGGGGTGGGGTGGGTATGATAGAAATCTATAAAATCATGACTGGTGTGGAGAAAGTGAATAGGGAAGTGTTATTTACCCCTTCAGATAACACAAGAACCGAGATCATTCAATGAAATTAATAGGCGGCAGGTTTAAAACAAACATAAGAAAGTACTTATTTGCACAATGTACAGTCAACCTGTGGAACTCATTGCCATGTGTTGTGAAGACCAAAAATATAAACGGTTTTAAAAAAGAATTAGATAAATTCATAGTGGATAGGTCCATCAATGGCTATTAGCCAAGGTGCTCAGGGAAGCAACCCCCTGCTCCAGGTGTCTCTAAACCTCGGACTGCCAGAAGCTGGAACTAGATGACAGAGGATGGATCTCTTGATTTGTTGTTGTCTTTGCTTCATTCCCTCTGTAGCATCTGGCACTGTCCACTGTCAGAATATCCTGTGTGGCCATTCTTATGTTCTTATATAAATAAAAATAGAGAAAACAGTGCATGTTGTTAACTGTTCTTGCATTATATTTGTATAACAGTTTTAAAGCATGCATGAAATACCAGAGCTTTTGCAAACTGAAAAATACTGTTTCTTGGTCTTCTGTTAGGCAGGAAATGGAAAACATGGGAAAATCTATAGTTACTTGTACTGGAACTCCAGACAAATTTTCCAAAAATGTCAATTCATTTAAAAAGAATAAGAAATCCTCTCTGCTTCAGAAGGCTATTGGCATGTTAGTAGGTTATAACCACTATTATAATATTATTATAGCATTTAATAAAACAAGCCACACAGTTCTATGTTGCAATTTATGGTTCTCCAGGCTGGCATGGCTTACTGATGTTGAAGTTTAATCTGTTGCTTCTTCTCTGTCTGTACATGATACGTATATGATTTTTAATTGGGGGAAAAAAGTTTTAGATCTAAATACAATTTTCAGACTACTGTTACATTTTTCGCTTTAATATGTATTATATTGGAGATGCCTTTCTGGTGTCAGTGAAACGCAGTAATCTAGGTCAGTAGAAGGTATTGTTCGCCTGCAAGGTTTTTGTGTACTGAAGACTGATTATTTTCCAAAGAAGGCAGTTCTGAGTTACTTACAGCTATATTATTGTCTATGCCACTTCCCCTCCAAAAAACCAAAAATGAAACAGAAAAACCAGCAAATGAGCTACAGCCTTCCTCTCTTCTTTGTCTGAAGAATAGTTAGATATGTAATAGCATACAGTTTTTTTTATTGATGCTACAGTAAATACTAAAGTTAAAGAACAGTACTATTGTCCTAAAGAAAATGCCATGAGGTTGAGGGCCCAATGAAATAAATTGCCTACATA